GACTGGGAAACCGCGGGGCCCTGGCGGAGCCAGGCGACCTGTAGGCGGCGGAAGTGAGCCCCGGGAGCCAGGCAACGCGGGCTGCTGGGCTGGGGCGGATGGAGCTCGACTGCGAGTTTTGTTTTTCTCTGTGTTTCTTCCACTGAGACTTAATGTAAACATGTTATTGAGTGCCCAGTGCTCATGCCCAACGCTTCACACACACTACACGAAAAGTCCCACATCCTGGCCCTTAAAAACATGGTGTTTCGGCAGAGTCTTTGAGAGAAGCTAAGCATCTTTCTGGAATCTCTTGTTGCCAAAAGCCAGCGGGGTGGCTTTGCCTAGATAGGCAGTTGCATTACAGCCACCTTTGTACCTCAGGGCTCTTCCTCTCCAATCCCTCCACTTTCAGTTCAATCTTACTCTAAGTAACAATTTTGATGAAATCACTCTCATGTTTAAAAATTTTAGTGGCACTAAAATTTGAGCAGGAGTCCAAACACCTTAGATACTCACACTCTATAATATGGCCCCCGCTGTCTCTTTCAGCTGTAACGTCCATTATTTCAAGCTGGTTGAATAGGTGGTCAAATGTTCTCTGCTTTTCCAGTCTTCTTACCTACACGCCTTAAACAACTGTGTCCTGTGCTATGCACGTGTCACACTGTATTTAATCAACCCTCTACTGGGGGATATTTAGTTGAAAACTAGAATATAAGTGAATCATTAGGTAACTTGATATCAGAGGTCTTGTTCTGTGTGTTATTTTCTAGCTAGGCAAGTCACTTAACTTCTCTAGGCCTCGATTTTCACATATATAAAATCAGAGGATTTGTCTCTGAGGTCTTTCTTTGATTCTAGGTCGTCTGATGACTGTGATAATTAGTCTCTATTCTTGCTAGAGGCAAGAGGTGGGAAAAAAGAAACAAGGTTGTTTACTTCTCTTCCACTAGCAGGAACAATCTCCATCCCTTTCTCTTCTCCTTAACTTTGGTTCAAAGGAAAAGAAAGAAAAGGGCGGGGAGGGGGGCGCATTCTTCAAGCGCTGAATGAAATTAAACAAAATCTATAATAAACTACACCCTTATACCTCACCTTTTCTAGCTGTACACTATCTTATCTCAACATATCGAAAAGAACAGCATGTAAATAAGACTGTGAGGCAGTCTACAGTTTTTCTTAGTTGTCTAAGCTAGAAAACTTGTAACACAAAGGGCAGCACAGAGGACTAAAATGTGCCTCTTTATAAACAACAGTGCAAAAAAAAGTCGTCTTTGATTTCTTCTGGGGCTTATAGTTAAAAAGCTAAAGTTTAGAGGAGTAATATGAGGGGTAATTTTTATTATGTAAACCCATTGAGGAATAAAGAAATAAAATGGAGTAACTATAGTTGAGGTGCTAAATTGCTCAAATTAAGGAGGCTGAGGTATCAGCAAACAATTCTGTTCTTATTTTCGCTAGCTTAATAACTTAAACTTTCGAACTTTCCAGTCCTATGTCAATGCCTAGTTATACACCAAACCTCCAGATAAACCTCTAATTACCCCCTTGAAGGACTAAGAAAGAGTGGTCAGGTATCCAGACTCCCTCACATCCATTATCCAGACCACTGGTCATCTAGAGGATATATCTGACTAATCCAAAGGCTGAGAATGCAGGACTGCTTCTTCTCAAGAATGTACTTTCTTTCTACTGTAAGAACCCTCACCTCTCCTTTCTTCTTCAGAACACTGTGGGTATTACCTAGTTGTGTTTCTAGTTTGTGAACACTAAGATCCTTGAAGAAACCTTAATCATTTATTTCCAGGGGAAGCCTCCAGACTCTTTCTGAGTTCGTTTGACAGATATGGTGTTAACATGGGATCCAAAGAATGTTTCAGTTCCAGTGCTGTTGTTGGCTTCAAGCGAGGTAGCCGCTCAAGCCCTTTGTGCTCTGTCATCTTCCCAACAGCTGCTGGATTCCAGTTGTGAATCCTCTCAGTTCCAAACCTCCCGCCTTCATTCTTGGGTCCTCTGATACCAGTTTTCATAGAGGGGTGCCCTATTTCCAAGTCTGTTACAGAGGGACAATCCAATTCTGGAACGCCAGCTGGATTTATGGCCTATCTTCTGCAAAGTGTTTGTCCAGATGGACTCCAATATGAAGGACAATTTGGAATTACAGTGGCCACTCTGGGGATCTTTCGAGATTCTGAAATTAGTATATTTATGTGCACAATTAGAGAATCTTAGAAATGTTAAACAAGCTGAATGAAAAGCATATTTCAATTGGTATTTATAGGCCTCTAAGAAATTAAGATTCAAAGATAGCTTTAACATCTTTTTTGTCTTTTTGTCTGACAGTGACAGCTTTCTCTTTATCTTTAACATGGGACTTTCTAAAATGTTCCCAAGGCCTTTTGAGCCACGCTTCTCTTGCTCAGGCCCGCTTCCACTTCTGGAAGTGTACTTTCCCTTCTAATAAAACTTTTCTTTTCTTTTTTTTTTTTTAAACATTTTATTTTTTTATTTTTCCCCCTTCCCCCTCCCCTCTCCCTTTGGTAACCACTAGTCCACTGTCCACGTCCATGAGTCTCTGTTTGTTTGTCTTGTTCCTTTGTTGCTTTTAGATTTATATCCCACATACATGATATCATGTGATTTTCAACCTTTTCTGTTGAAGGCTTATTTTGCTTAATATGATTATTTTAAGGTCCATCCACGTTGTCGCAAATGGCAGTATTTCATCTCTTCTTATGGCTGAGTAATATTCCATTGTATATATGTACACGGCTTCTTTAGCCAGTCATCTATTGTAGGACACTTCGGTTGCTTCCATGTCCTGGCCACTGTAAATAATGCTGCTATGAATATCGATGTGCAAATATCTTTTCAAATATGAGTTTTTAAGTCTTTGCAGTAAATACCCAGTAGAGGAATTGCTGGATCATGTAGTAGGTCAATTCTTAGTTTTTTGAAGAACGTCCATACTGCTTCCCATAGTGGCCATACCAATTTGCAGTCCCACCAGCAGTGTATGAGGGTTCCTATTTTTCCGCATCCTCTTCAACATTTGTTATTACTTGTCCTGTTGATTATAGCCATTCTAACAGGTGTGAGATGGTATCTCATTGTGGTTTTGATTTGCATTTCTCTAATAGTTAGCGATGTTGAGCATCTTTTCATATATTCGTTGGCCATTTGTATGTCCTCTAGGGAGAAATGTCTGTTCAGATCCTCTGCCCATTTTTTGATTGGATTGTTTGGGGCTGTTTTTTTGGTTGTCATTGAGTCGTATGAGTTCTTTGTATATTTTGGATATTAGGCCCTTATCAGAGGTGTTGCTTGCAAATATATTTTCCCATTCGGATGGTTGTCTCTTTACCTTGTTGACAGTTTCTTTTGCTGAGTAGAAACTTTAATAAAACTTTTCTTTTCTACTGTTAAAAAAAAAGTTCCCAAGAAATTTCTTCCCAGGAACTCTAGTTAGTTATATAAATAAACATTTTGGTTCCTCTTCTTGTGCTTTTTTAATAAAGTGGACCAACTTAGACAAAATAACTTAAAACTCTAATGGCTATTAAGGAGAACTTTGTTTTAGGTTCACCTTGAGGGGCCTCCCTGAAAGGGAGAATTCCAGACCTCACAGAGACAGCAGAATGCACACTTTGATATACTGAAGCTTCTAAAAGACAAATTGTGTTTAAAATACAGCTCTAAAAGGAATCTAAAAGAAACTTTGGCCATCCAAGTAGATGCTTTAAAATCTCTGTTTCTCCTGAAACCTGAAAAGATACTAAAAGAGTTTAATAACTTTTTGATCAGAAAATTGGCAAAAATGGAAGCTAAAGATTCAGAGCCTATTAAGAATGTTTTAAAGGCCTCCTTCCCTAAGCCAACGTAAGCCAGAATAGAACTAGGTACCCACAGAGAAAGAAGATAATTAGGAAAGGAGAGGTAGATCAACCTACAATGTCACTTAAATTATAACCTAATCTGGGCGGGGTGGGGGGATTGAGAATAACTGTCCTTATTTTACTGATCTTTTTGAAACCAGAAATGGAACTCTAGAGGCAGTTCAAATCCCACCTATCTTTACTATCCTCAATTCCTAAGATTAAAGGAAAAACAATATAGGAAAGAAGGGTTTTTTAAAGCACAAACTGCTGCTCTGGCTCCGAGGCTCCTTGCCAAAGAAAAATGCAAATCATAATTGTCTTCACCACATATATTAATATGAAAAAAGCTTAGCCATCTAAACAAATAAACTTAACTTATTCCAACTGTTATAAATTAGTGGGTTTGTTTGTTTGTTTTTTGTTTTACCTTATTGTACTTTTCTCAGGGCTGAAATTTTAAAAGAAAGCTATCAGGTGTCTGGTTGCATCTGTTTGTGTATGTGTATGTGTGTATACCTCTGGAGGATATTGTTGGAATTGGTTTGTAAAAAGCTCTGTTTGATTGGCTTAAAAGAATTAAGCAGTTATATTAAAATTCTCAAAAATATAATAGAAATCAACCCAAATACTCTTCAGTATCATGTGTTCTGAGAAAATATTGGATATTAAAGCTGGTTTGAGTTTGGTTTGGTTAAGTAGGCATGTCTTTGGTAGAGTTATTACCATTAAGTATAATACTTTTATTCTACCCAAGTTTATTAGTCAAATAAGTTCATCTCTGTTGTAAAATCTGACAGTAAGAAAAATAACTTGGTGTGGTAAAATTTTCATAAGTAACCTAAACATAATTTTTAAGAACAAGTAAAATAAATAGATGTTGATGGGATAAAAAG